ATGTTGTAAAATGTTGTATGTCTGTTAATGTTTCCCTCCTTTTATCCTTAAAATAAAAAAAAAAAAAAAGAATGTTTATCTATAGGTGACAAAATCAACTGTGCCACTTCTTCTCCCTGTTAAAAAACCCAGAGATCCATAGCACATGAAAAAACTTGCATTTCATGTTGATAGTCACCATCAATCACACTAGGCACAATAGATATTTCTTTTAAATTTAGATCAGCCTTTCCCAGTACAAGACCAACTGTTTCCTCAAGCAGTGGACCCCAAACTCCTGTGGGAATTTGTCACCCCTGATAAGAGTGACTCTGCAAGCTGCCAGAAGATCTAATCCTGTGCTTTGTGAGGGAATTTATATCTCTATGAGAATTTATATCTATATTCCCTGGTGAGGGAATTTATATCTCTCTGAGAATCCACCTCTGAGGTTGTTGAATATGCCTGTATGTTTGCACTAGATAAAGCTGTCTGACATTTTGACTTACAAGTTATATTTCCTCTATTTTTTGTCAGGCCTGAGGAAAGGCTCTTATCTTATTATCTGGCAAAGATGTACAGTCCTTAGGAACTGTAGAGTGACAATGCCTAGCCCAATGTCTCCCTTTTTGATATCTCAGACAGGGTCCATGAAGGGTCCAAATCCTCCATGCCAGAGGCATTGTTCCCTCAACCTGCTGCAGGTTATCCAGAGATTTATGTATCTTTGCTCCTAAGTTGAAAGTTTTTGGCCTATTTTACTTCTGGATAACCCTCAAACTGCCCTATTAAATACAGCAAGAATGCTGTAATTTTTTCTAATACGTCCCATTTTTCCACAGTTAAAACATTTTATATTACCTCCTCCTGCATTATTAAAACCAGCCATAACCTGAGCCATCATGGTTGTCTTTTATGATTCAGTTCCAATATCCTGACAAGCTTGAATATATGTCATCAGATCATTGGTTCATTTTACAGGATTTAAACCTTGCTTGCAGTCTCAATCAGTGTTTGCATATGCCAATAATAGAATTATAATGTCCACAGCTTGCATGTTTGAAACCTTTCTGTGAACAATTTGTTGTAATCTAGCCACAGATAGAGTAAAGTGTTCCTTAGGGCCTTGAAGGATGTGTAAGAAGGACTGCACAGGAGTGCCATCCTCTGGAATAGTTGCCCATATCCTTTTTAGGAAACCTGCTAACTGTGAATGTAGTTCATCAGGACCTCGGAGCAAATCCCAAAAGAATGCATAGCATCCTGTCCCAGAAAGCATCTCCTCATTTATTTCTGGATGCAGATTAGGACCCGTTCTGTTTTGATGAGCCTCCTCCAAAACAAGACTTTTTAACTGTTCATCAAAATGAAGAAATTGAGCAGGAGACAGGCAAGTTTGTGCTAGATGCCTGATATCATATGGTATCCATTGATATGTATCCAAAACATTCTGTAGAACTCCTGATGTAAATGGGCTCTGGATCCCATTGTTAACAGCATTTTAAGATATTTTAGCATCTGAATTTCAAAAGGCAAATGAGAAACAATCTCCTTGTTATGATCATTTTGCTGAGTTCCAACTGGGAAGCAAGTGGGAGTGCCAATGAGTTCTCATTTTGTGGCTTCTTTTTCCTTTAAAATCTGCAAGTTTCTGGATAGAGCCATATGGGATGTTCCTTTGAAAGGCTCCTCCTCCTCTCCTGTCTCTACTGGGTGCCCTTTTGTTTCCTCTCTGTCTGAGTCAGAGACTTTTGACTGTAAGCTCTGCAGTGGACTTAAAACTGAATGAGCTAGGTTTAAAGTTGAAAATATCTCTGGGGAAATGATTTTTCCTGTAGTATGTGCCTTTTTAAGATTTTTTTCCAACTGTTTCTCAACCATCAACATCCACAGTGCCTGTCTGAGGACACCATGAATTATATTTGGTTACTTCTTGTAACATTTTTGTTTTTTGGTTTTTTTGGGGGGGTTTTGGCAGATGAGTCCCTGAGTGTTTTTGTTGTTTTTTTTTTTTTTTTTTTAAATAAAAGGAGAAAAACATTAACAGACAACATTTTACAAAATAGCAAAAGAACAGTACAGACAATACAGAGTTGTGGGAAATTACAAAGTGGT